GAACATGGGATTCGGCTGACACCAGGAGTGCCTCCCCTACTCGCAGGGAAACCCTTTTTCAGGGATCCGAAGCGACGTGGGGTGAGTGGCGCAGTGTTTTGAATCAACCGCGATTTTTACGGAGTGAAGCCGCACAGCCGTTGCCGGAGAGCGCTGACTCTAAACAAGTACCCGTGAGTAGAACGGAAAATTGGATTAAGAAACATTTTAATTTGGCACTGAAGCGGGAAGGCTCTAAACAGGAAGTCCGCCTCCCGTTTTTTGTAAATAGATTGAAGCAAAAACTTTGTAAGCTAAAGTCTGGAAAGTCATATATAAAGGTCTAAATTTCCTTCAGTTATTACCACCAAAACCCCTCTTGGAAGCAGGAGAAAAGAGGGGGAATTTTTGACTGTTTAAGCCTGCAGGAGAGAGAGTAAAGAAAGATAAATTTCCACCGTCTCAAACCTGGGAACGGGGTGTCAGAGACAGAAATTTATGGGGAAGTTCATCGACTGTGAATGGAACGTTTTTTGACAGATATTAAAAAGGAGAAACAAATTGACTCCAATGTTGCTTCTTGCATTCAAAAGAAACAAAGTATTTGAAAAATGAAAGTAATTTTCTTTTGTTGGTCCTGCTTTCAAAAGATGGATACAAATAGAAATTGTCTCCTCTAGAGGGAGCTTGTTAATTTGTTGCCGGAGTCGATCTGGGGATTTCACAGCTGTAAGATTAGGATCGTGAGACCAGACTCTGACCTTGAATAAAAATGTGTTTAGAAGAAGTTTTGGTGCTTGCTTTTTGCAAGACAAGCGCTTTGCTGGAGCAGATGCATGAGAAGATGGATTTGATGACTGTTGCAGTTAAAAACTTTGGACAAACGGCGAATACCCATATAGAAACCATTCAGGAACCAGCCCAGGAACTTGTTTTGACAGGGCAAGCGCAAGTGCAGAAGATAATGGAGGAGGTTGCTGTTGAACCTCAAGTAACACAAATGGAGAGATCCGAGGCCTTGCAGGAGCATAAGCCGCTGTTCTTGAAGTTTGAATCTGGAGTGGACCAGGGGGGGTCTGGAGTTGTGAGGGCTCTTAATTTTGGAAGGACTTTGAAACATGCTTTTAAATACTTTCTGGATTACAGTGTTGACTGTGGGGAATGGGACTGTGGGGAATGGGCTGATCTGCTGAGGAGTGATGGAGATATTTTTGGATTGGAGTCCTCCCGAGACCTACCCCCAATGAGAAAGGAAAGAAATTAAGAAAAAGATCAACAAAAGACAAAGTAAAGTGCAGGTATAAACAAGAAGAAGATCTGCAGAAGGGACATGGAAAAGACTTAAGAGCCTCGGACATAAGATCACCAGGTTGATGGACTAGATGGAATGGACAAGAAGGACTGACAAAACCCGAGACCAGGAAGAAGAGACGTTGGATGAAGATTGGAAGAAAGTTTTTTAAAAAATTATTTTGAGAATTAGTGTAAAATTAACGAGTATTAGGAAAAATGTTGGAATGAAACTATTTGGCTTTAGTAGAAATGATATAAGGAGTTATGTACATTAAGTTTTAAGTTTTAAGGTTTTTTTTTATGGTAAGATAAGGTTAAATAAATTAAGGTAAATTGAATGACAGAATATAGTGAAAGATGGAAAGGATTTGTTGAGTTAATTAAAAGGTTAGATCGTTAAGATAAATTATATAACAAAAATTGAGAAAGATGGAAAGAATTTGCTGAAACAATTAATTAAATTAGAATACAAAAAGGGAGGTGTGAGGAGGTCGATGAAACAAGTAAATGAAAGATAAAGATATGGAACATTGGATGTGTGTTTTAATGTTATTGTGTTTTTTTGCTGTATTGTTGTATTGTTTTTTATGCTTTTCTTTTTATGTATTGTAATGTATGCTTTGTCAATTTTTTGTTATTTTCTTTTTCTCTTTTTTCTGTAATTCTTAAACTTTTAATAAATATCATTTTTTTAAAAAGAGAGAATTGTAGCCTCCGTCATCTTTTTTTAATTTTTCATACCAGGTAAATTAATGAACCTATCTACCAGAGGTTCTTGTAATCCTTTTGCCAGCCTCTCAGAAAAGAAATGTCAAGCACTGCAGCAACTTGATTTTCTGTTCTAACAATTAGAGTATATCACAGGCCACACAACAAGATCAATACCTGTCTGGTAAACTGTTAATAAGTGACAGCAAAAGACTGAACATCTATAAAGAAATAACTTCTTTAAATGCCATTTTTGAAGAAACAGAGCCACCATATTTATTTATTTACTTATAATTTACTCAATGTATAATTAAGCCATGCATATCTCATCTATCTTGAATCAGATATTGCAAAACATTGGCTGCCAGTTTGTTTTCCGGCTCAGTTCAAGGTACTCAGTGTTTAAACCTTTTGGCCTCCCAAATTGGAAATACCATTTCCTCCCCCAAAGTCCATGTCACAGGTTAATATTGTCAGAGTGAGGATCTTTTGGAAGTTCTTCACCCTAGATGGAGGTGGCATCCCAGGAGAGGGCATTCTCTGTAGAAGCCCTTAAGCTGTGGAATTCTCTCTCCGCAAAGGTGTATCTGGCATCTTCATTCTGAAGTTTTCATCAGATGCTGAAGGCACACCTCTTTGCCCTGGCCTTTGACATATGAGATGCAAATTTTAAGACAGCACAGATCAGAAATAACTTTGTATGCCCATCCCTACTCTCAAGAGGAATGTGTATACCTAATGCTTTATGAATCTTAGGCACCTGCTGATGATGCAGCCTTTTTGCTTTTGCACATTTTAGAGGTATTACTGTTTGTGTCCAGTAGTGATGTATGGAAGTGAGAGCTGGACCATAAAGAAGGCTGATCACCGAAGAATTGATGCTTTTGAATTATGGTGCTGGAGGAGACTCTTGAGAGTCCCATGGACTGCAAGAAGATCAAACGCATCCATTCTTAAGGAAATCAGCCCTGAATGCTCACTGGAAGGACAGATCGTGAAGCTGAGGCCCCAATACTTTGGCCACCTCATGAGAAGAGAAGACTCCCTGGAAAAGACCCTGATGTTGGGAAAGATTGAGGGCACAAAGAGAAGGGGACGACAGAGGATGAGATGGTTGGACAGTGTTCTTGAAGCTACAAACATGAGTCTGACCAAGCTGCGGGAGGCAGTGGAAGACAGGAGTGCCTGGTGTGCTCTGGTCCATGGGGTCACGAAGAGTCGGACACGACTAAACGACTAAACAACAACTGTTTGTGTCTATGCCTGTTGCTATTGTTTCAGAATTACTGTTTGCCGAGGGTGGTTTTTATTCCTGCTTATTTTTTATGTTGTGTTTTACATTTTTGGTAAAAAGCAGGAAATAAATATTTTAAATAAACAAATAAATATGCACGGGAAACCCATTGCCAACTGTGGCATATGGAACTCTATGAGTACATGGGGCACTTTCCCTTGTCATTGCACCATTTGCTACCATATAGCTAGATGGCAGCCCATGTGTTCATTCTTTCTGGATCTGGCCGTACCGCATGCACAGACTGTCCACTTCCGTCTTTGCATCCAAATTTGTTGCATTCCCAATGGTCAGAAAGATGCCCCATGCTTCTTCCACATTCATAGCAGCCAAACCTCTGTCTCAGGAAATGCAGATGCTCAGTGTCAGCTATGGCACTGGCCAAATGTGTTCATGACCAATGGCTAACATCACACTCATTTCTTCCAGCTGTTCTGTCATAGCGCTTTATATAGGAAGGCAAACTCAGGAAATATTCCTGATTGCAAGGTGGGGGCCAGTGGGCAATGAGCATGTATTTTTGGTGTTGGAGACCTGCAGTTTGTCTTTCTCTGCCTTCTGGAGAAATGTGTATACCTCATTTATTTGCCTTTTCAACTTCATTGGCTCTCTTGATTGGCTATTACTAGGCAATAGCCAAATGCTTTTTTTTTTTTTAAAGAAGAAAAAAAATGAAAAGAACGGGCTGATCATAGCAATGGTAGCCAAGGTTTCCTCTGCATATTTTTACATTTTATTCCTCTTGTTTTACAGCCAGGTTTCTGCTAGCTCTTGGACTGGTTCAATACACTCTACTAAATGTTCATTGTATCTGCCACCTTCTTATCCTATTTCAGTAGAAAGAAATCAATGGGAATTGATTTTGAAATGTCCAGCCTTATCAGGTATTGACTGAGAAGATAATACTGCGTATGGATTTTAACAAAGCCTAGAATGCTGGAAATGACAACCTAGGACTAAACGGATGGTTGGACTCTCGCTTGTTTTACAAGTTTATCCCTCTCATTGCCCCTGGCTCTTGGATAGTGCCAATTCCCTCTTGATGGTTCTCCACTAAAGCCGGATTCTAGTGGAATATAACATGGGCTGGAGGAAAAAGCAGTTGTACTTGGAAATACAAACGGTGCCACCAAATGCTATTTCAGCAATTATCCATGTTTAGCAATTATGCTAATGTTGATTCTCAAAAGGCTGTTATTTGCTCAGCATGTTCTTCATACATTATCTCTGTACCTGTCTAACCCTGTATTTTCACATGCACTATTACAGGTTGTTTGTCAAGTTAAGTGATGTTTTCAGTAGGGAGTGTTGTCAAGGCACTGTTGGTTTTGCAGGATTCCTAGACCCACCCACCCTGCTTTGCAAATCCTACACAGTTTCTGCCATGAACAGAAAATTGCAGAAGCCTTAAAGGGGAGAGGAACAAATCTCACTGTGTTCACAAAAGCTCTTTTTGTTCCCTGAAAGGAGTAGTGAGGGCTTTGGTTTAGAATACAAAGTTGGCCAATTGGCTAGTGGGTTCTTCAATGCCATGTTTAACAGGAAGATGGCTATTCAGAACCATTCAAATACTGATTTAAGATACTCTGGAAGTTTGTAAACCAAACAGTATCAAATATTTTAAAGAAGTAAGGACAGGTAAATAAAATAAATGTCAGAATATGGAGGAACAGGGGTAGCCAACATGTTTTTACTGCAACGCCCACCATTCCTTTTTTTCAAGTTTAGAATACTTTTATTTTTCTGAAAACAACATTTTTCTTCCTTTCAACTGCACAAAAGAGCAGTTACAAAATAGGAAAATTGTCTCTTTTCCATTATCATACATAATATTTACATCAAGAAAACTGCATTTTTAGTGGCAGCAGCTGCATTTATCTGATAGCGGCTCTTTGCAGACACAACCCTTGGCACATTTGTTGAATCCAGCTGGGCAACAGGAGCAGCAGCTTTTTTTTTCTTCTTCTTTTTTGCATGAAGTACATTTCCAATTTTTGCATTTGCAGGAGCCGGCACAGGAACAAGAGCCACCAGTGGTGCAGGCACAGTCCTGAGGATCCATCGCAGTTGCAGCAGTGATCACAGATCAGAGGATCAATCAAGGCAAGAGGAGATGTGTCAACTCCCACCATTCCTAGCCATTGGCCATACTGGCTGGAGCTCCAAAACATCTGGAGGTCACCATGTTGGCTTCCCCTGGACTAAACTCTCCATAGGCTAGAGTCACTTCCCCTTGCAGATAGGCAAGAAATCGTTTTAGTAGTTCAAACAAATATATGTCATTGCTGTGACCACCTTTCTCCTTCCTTCCTTGCTTCTGTGATTTGGCTCAGGGGAAGAGAAGTACTCATAGGGATGGAAGGTATCCAATTCTAAATGCTTTTAGCAGAGCACATTGCATGTGTGTAGTGCACACTGGGAAGGGGGATCAGCTTGCTGGAGAGGAATGGGCAGATGGCAATTTGGAATCCTTCATGGAGGTTTGATTTGTTAATGCTAAATCAATTGGGAACAAGGCTTACGTTCTCCATGATTCCACCACTGAGCAGCATCTTGTCTGCATCCTTGAAGATAGCTTTGTTTCAGATGCTGTTCAGATAAAACAGGATTCTAAGGCTGCCAGTTTGCTGTGAAAGAGGGCACAGTTTAGGAAATATGAAATCCTGCCCATAACCTCCACTACAGAGTTCCTCCTTTAGAATTTTTCTTTCATGGATTGGAATGGACAAATATGACAACTGTGGCTTCTCTCTGTGTCTCAGTTTTTTTTTTTAATCTTCCGTGTGATTCACCACATTTATGTATCACTTTGCCTTTTGCTTTTTTAAAGGTCCTCGTGAAAGTTCATCAGCATTTCGGTATGCAATTCTGCCTAATAGACACATTTTTGCAAAGTAATTCTCCTTAACAGATGTTATTTTCAACAATATCTGCATTTTTACACACTCTTCACCCTTGTATATGCATTTTTGTGCACACTATTTGCACTGCACTGAAAAATTCAGAGAAATCAAAGAATGGCTGTGTTTTGGATTGCATAGTGTTTCACAAGTTGCAAATTAGGTAAGTCCCCATTTAAATGTGAACAGGATCAAATTTCAACCCCAACCCTGCCTTCCTATGGGTGGTTCATCTTGCTAGATCCCCATATCCAGCCCCCAGGGCAGTGTGGACTGTTTCCCCTATAGAACAGAGATTTCAAGAATAATGCAGAAGAGGCATGCACCAATCGCATATTTGGAGTGAAAGAGACTGGATCCATGCACCCCCTCTTTTTTCCATTCCTCCCAACACAATATTGTCACTGCATGCATATGCACTGCTGAGCATCTAGGTCTAGGGAATGGGTCCAAATCTTTCAGCTGTGACATGCTATTTACTATGCGCACTGTCTGGGCAATTCATCTTTAGCATAGGTAATTCATTCCCTCTGGCCACTATACTTTGCCTTCAAAATTCAGTCAGAACTCAGCTCCACATTACATTTTTTAATCTTAAAATATTCAGCTTTACCTACAAACACAGAACATAATGCACAACATTAAATTTAGTTGGGCATTTCAGGCAATATCAGATGATGCCATTCCACTGGTGGAATGACCTTTGAACTGGCAGAGGTAATCAGTAACACAGGCAGAGGGGAGGCATTTTCCCCCAAGTTCCCATCCCCATGGAATCCCCCTGTGTACACCCCCCACCAAAGTGCAGGACCCACCAGACCAGTGTTCAAGGTTGCTTGTGAGGTGTAGGGAGCTACACCAGAAAAGGGAGTTGTCAAAAAAAGAAACACCCACACACCCACACCCACCCCTTCTTCCATTTAAACAGACATCTCCACTGAATTAAAAGCTTTTGCATGTTCAGTCCCAGAAACCTCCCCCCTAAATAAATTCACACTTGACTCAAATTTTGGGTTTGGTTTTTGGCAGAATTTAGGCCACAGTTTTATTGATTACAGAAAGTGAATAGTTGCATAGGCTGTGGTTCGACTAGCTCCCTGCCATGCAGGTACTGTAGTGCTGACCCAGGGTTCCAGCATAGGTCAGCCAAGGGTGAACATCTGGATAAGCGGAAAGCCGGGAACAGGCTATCTCCACCACACAAATGTCCCCCTGGACTCAGGCACGGGCACAACCCCCTCTTAGGGGTTGACCAAACCATCGAGTCCCTGGATTCCTTTAATGGAATGCCCTTCCCATAGGGATGGCGAGACCATTCTCCCATCCCTATCACCTGAACCAGAGCCTACCCGCAACCTTACAAGTTGTGAAGATTTGCTACGCGGCAGGCAAAAGCCAAATGGCAACAGCCAATCAGCCAAGTGGGGAAAATTCCTGCCGTGCCCCTGTCCCAACGACAGGTGACACATGAAGGCATAGCAAGGTCAAGCACAAAGCCCTAAAAGTAGGGAGAGGTGGGGGGTGTTCTGAGTGCATGCTCCGAAAGAGGAGGCTCTGGGTCACGTGCATGGGTATAAATAGATCCCTTGAACTGTTTGGACTGTGTCCCATTGGCCAGATTGCACCCAGCTACGAGGGACCCACCAATCGGGTGTTGTGGCTGACCAATTGTACCCACCCACAACACAGGGTGTCGGTGTCTAGGTCTCACCACAATATGTGCCCTCTTTAAGGGAGGACCCGAATTCCCAGAGAAGAGCATTGGATATCAGCCTTTGCTTGGAAATACTGATAAATAAGTTACTAAAACTTTCTCACAACTGCATACAATCATAAAGAATGCTAGCAATTTTCATTGCAACTTTTGCCATTAGCAGAAAGTAAATGTGCTTCCCTTCTGTTTATGGTGTACTATAAAACTTTTAAAAAAAGAAAAGAAAATCAACGCATTTTTCATATATATAAAAAAACCAACCTACAGTGACAATCATCAATAAAGATGAAAGTAACTAAGTTCTAAAAGCAGAAAGGCTGCATGTAGGGTGACATGAATATAGGATACAACTAGTGTGAGGGCTATCTATCTCAATAACTCATGCCAGAAGCGAGAGATTAAAGCCTATCCAGGAAAATCAAATATTTTGGCCATAGAATGCTGTGATATTGCTATGAGAACCTTCACAAAGAAGTATTCATCTTCAAACGCTAAAGCCAAGCAAAGTCCGATGTGGACTGATTTGGCAACTCTTGGCTTTGAGGGGAGTAACTGAGCTCTAATTGTGTCCTCCTTTAAATGGCTACATTAAATGCCTCCTATTGAAAGGTGGCTCTTTCCACCCATGTCACGTCCTTTAATGGACAAACTGCTCTTTATTGAAGTTGGCTTTTCCTTTTCTCATTGGAACGGCTGCATCAAAGCTCTTTTCTAATATGCTGTCCCATTTCCGAGCAGCTTAATGTTTGGCACTTATTTCTTGCTGTTGCCTTTTGCAAGTTCCTCATCAATTAAAGTTTTGGAGATATTTTTCTTTTAAATCAAGACAGAGCCATGATATTTAACTAAACAATGATGAAAGTGTCAGTAAAAGCACATTAAGGTATGGAGAAATGGTGCTAAAGGCATTTTCAACTGTGACTATAAGGACTGAACTGAATGTTCTCCTATTGAAAGTATTCCTTTAGTCTTGGTCTCTTTCATTATTTCTCCTCTCTGTTATGGTTTAGCATCATTCCTCCACTTCTCATTATTGCATCTTCTTCCCGATAGGCATCATGGTTCATCCCAGACAATTCTTTTAACGGATGCCTGGTTATATATTGCACCTTCTGTATGTTTATTTCTTGTTTTGTAATTTGCTGTAAGACTTTCACTAAACTAAGAAATTGGGAATCACAAGTGAACAGGACGATGTCATGATTAGGGATGTCACAGAATTCCAACAGAAAAGAAAAAGTGTGCAAAAATTTTCTGTTCATGTATTTGCTCATTGTCAGGAATGGATCGTGAAAATGGAGGTTGCATTTGTTGCCAGTAGATTCACCCCCACCCTCACAGATATGCAATTAATAACATTAATGAAGCTTGATTAGCTGTTTATTTTAACATGGTTACTAATCTTGCATTTGCATTCTGTAGACTATAATGGCAGAGAAAAGATAAATACGATTTACATATTCTTCAACTCCTCCTGTCATGAAGAGGTGATGATGGTTGTTGATTGTACCCTTTGCTATATTTGCTATATAAGCTCCATTGAAACTGACTTCTGAGTAAATATGTGTACCACACCTTTTGGGAACCACTGCCTTAACTGGATATAAACCCCATTGAATTCTATGGCATTTATTTCTGAGTAGAGAAGGCTTGCAAAAAATCTTTTCTCCCCCCCCGCCCCTGTCATCTATAGCTGTGTCAAACATCATTAGCCCCCTGAAGGCATGAGGCACAACTGAAATTAGTCAATATCTGCTCCTTCTTGTCTTCTGTGTATAGGATTGAAGCTGCAATCCTTAACTCCTTACCTGAAAGTAAGCCCAATTGAATTCAATGGGTCTTGCCTCTGAGTAGACATATTTACGCTTGCAGCCTGTGCTACTGCCATTCTCCTCCAACTGTCCAAGTGTGCTGAGCATCTTGATGGGTCATTAGCTACTTCATTTACTTCAAAAATGCAATTCTAAAACACAGAAGAAGCAGGAAACACTTTAACATGAAATCAGGTGACGATAACAACAAAAAGTATGTACCGTTCTGAGCATAGGGAAACGTGAGTTGAATAATGGTGTGTTTTGCAGAAACTGAACTGAAGCAGAAAGGAATCAGCTCTTCATCAGGGAAATGCATGACAGAACGGACACTGCTAACTTCATCCCTAGTGCATAGAAAAATAACCACATAGGGCCTCCCTGCATGACTCATGCGCATGCATTTTGCAGGGTTCCAAACAATTCAGCTTCTATATGCAGACATTTGTATACCCATAGGCTCTGAGATCAGAGATAAGCGTCATCCCACTATTTTCTTCATTCTTAATGTGACAGAGATAGTCACATTAATAGAATTGCAGTGTTTGACTTGCAAAGGTTTCATGTTGAGCTGCTGCTAGGGTCTCTGAGCTAGGTTTTCTTTTTTTGCAAGTGGCTTCCGGCTGATCCATATGGAATCAGATGATTTGTGGCCTGTTCTTGCATCAGGCCTAAGCATCCTATCATTAGGCTTTTAAAATAATGTTTGCTATGTTGTGTTTCAGCTCTGGGTGCTTTCCTTTGCCTTCCTGCTACCTGAATTAGCATCCCTGCTGCCATTCAGCAGGAAATGTGGGGCTTGTGTAAAGAGGGAAAGATGACTCCAGCACTATATGTGTGAGGATTAGAGTTTGCTGTTAATAGCTTTGAGCTCAAAGCAGCTTGAGAATGGAGGGGGAGATCTGATTCAAAGAAGAAAAATGATAATTTGGGCCTGGAGGGAATTGGGGAGAGCCTTGGCCAAATTGGAAATTACCTTTTGGTGCTCTTTTGCTGTAATCCCTGCAACTCCAATTATAGCAGAAAGATAAACTGTTTGACGGTGTCTTACAACACCCTGCCTTGTACACGACTTAATCCATCCAATAAGTCTTAATGAAATCATTATTCTTATGACGTCTAATTATAGTTTCTTGGGCCTCTAAGCACAGTGGAGTATAAAGGATGGTATTGAATTCACTTCTAAATGGGGAATAAAAGAGCAGACTGAAGCTCAGCTCCTACAATGCTTCTGAGGCGCTTTCTGCGTCGTTGCGTTTAATTCAGCAGGAAGATTTGATGCGCAGCACATATCAGGGGTTGGCGATAGGGAGCTGGCTTGGGTTATGAGGCAAAGTCAATCGCTACATTGGGCTGGAGCTATTTCAGCTCTTACAGATGACAGGCTGTGCTTGTTTCCCCCCCCCCCCATGGCCTTCCTAATCAATTATCAATCATCCAAGACAGAGATGATTAGTAACTTCACACTGGTTGGGAGAGGTGTCCAATAAAACTTCATTTGGAAAAAGAAATAAAAAGAAAAAAGAAATAAAGAGTTTCATTTTCCATTGCACAGGTCTATGATTGCAAGAGAACTAGCCACATGCCATTCCTAACACTCCTGGGGAGTTGGAGCATATTTGGCTTATTCCCATTTGCTACTTTCAGTGGCCAACAAGTGGCTAGAACAAAGACAGATGAGAAAATGAGAGTGTGTGCCCTAAAAAATAAAAAAGGGAAAAGTATGAAGACTCAAGTAGGGTACCTGCTAACACCCACCCACCCATTGCTGCTCTTCACTGGTTGGCCATACCAGGAATATCAGTAGACACGGCCCCTATGCACTCTCTCTCTCTCTCCCCTGATGTCAGGATGCTGTCAGCAGCTCCCAGTTGGTTGCCTAGGAAAGCATAAAGACAAGGAAAAGTTTCTTGCAGTCCTTTTTTATTTCAATCTTTATAGAGGGAAGCTATAGAACCGAGCCTCTTGGATAATGATATTGTCCTGAGTGACTCTCCACCGCCACCCCGTCTCTCCCACTTCCTCATTCCTCATTCTCATCGTCTCTTCTATGGGTGCTGCTACATGCCCTCTGTCTTTGAGCTCTTTGCTCTCCTACTTTTAAGGCTCGCCAGGCTCTGGGAGATAGAGGATCTGGAATGCTTTCTAATAACAGCGTGTCAGCTGGGTGTTGTTCTGGCTCTCCCATGATTTCCCAGCTTTCCCCCTCATCTGCCTCTGAGCTGCGACCTCCCTCAAAACCCTGTTGTAAATCTATACTGTCTTCCTCTTCCTCCTCCCTGGAAGCGTCAGGATGAGGAGGCAGTTTCCACCATTCCTCCTCTGCCCAGTCTCTGACACCTGGTGTTCACAAGGTCTAGCAGCCTTGTAGGCATGCTTGGACATGAACGTCAGACTGCACAAAAATGGCACAGTTTGGATTTTCACTGGTCTTGTAAAGCATGTTCATTAAGACCATAAGGCCAGTGGCTCTTTTAGCCCATAAGCCAAGCAAATGCCCATGGGAAGGCCACCACCAGAACCTCAGCTCAACAACATTCTCCTCTCCGGAAATTTCCAACAACTGATATTCAGAATGAAGCTGCCTTTGACCATGGATATTTGTTTATTTGTTTGTTTAATAGCTGAAACATGTATAATTCATACTTTCATAAAATATATCAGGGTATTATACAAAATTTAATTAAATCAGAAAAACTACCTATAAACATGAAATTAAAAATATCAATTAAACATCCGTAGTTATTGGTTGGTTTAAACAGCAATTTGTTTTGCTGATTCGTACAACTATGATGACTAATGTCACATCTCTAAGATATTTCATATTTATATTATATTAGAATCACAGAGATGGAAGGGGCCTTCAAAGGCTTCGAGTCCAACTTCCTGCCGCTGTTGGAAAATCTACTACAGCAACTATTTATTGTAATAGATTTTCTAAAACGTCCAAAATGTCATATGGAGTTGAAACAGGGGTGTCTTGATGAAGCAAATTGTCTGGACTTGTTTCATTTTGACTTCAGGCTTCAGTTTGGCTCCCAAATAGGTTTGGTCCTCCTGATCAATGACCAATAGGAGATGGGGAAAGAGTTTACAGACTTTCTTTTCAAGGAAAGATGCAGGGGAGTCTATTGATGAGCTTACTGGAGTGACTGATCAAGGAGAAGTGGGGCTGCTCACTGGACAGCCAGATATTGGTGCTTGCAGGATCCCAACATTCAGCCACCCTAAAAGATGTCTGTAAATCCAGAACCTTACCTCTTGGAAAGGGATGCAACAAAGCCAGTGCTGCAGGCACTTGATACGGGGAAGGATTGCACCCTTGAAAAGAGTTGATAAGGGATAAAGTTCAGGATCTATCAAGGATTCTTGAAGGAACAGCCTTTACTGGGAACGCAGGTCCCCCCCAACCTACACAAACCAGTGGAGAGATGTACATATGTCTTCATTGGTTTGCATAAAAGAACATATGAAGAGCTTTCTGGATCATGTCAGTGGCCCATCTAGTCCAGCATCCAGCACATGATGAGAAAAAAAGCTTGCAGCTCGGAAGACACCTGGAAGAGGTTATGCACAAACCTGCCAAGAACCCTGTTGCCCCAAGAGTCCTTGCCAGGAGGTGGGATTCAACACACACATACCATTTCCTCATAATATTTCATGGGGAGACACCAAGCTTCAGGTTTTCTGTAAAGAAGTTCTGCTTCAGGCCAAGGTGAAGTGGGCCTCTGCCACAGCACTGTAGTGGCGCCTGAGCCAAATCTTGATTTTGGTGCATATGTCTTGTGTTGAACTTTAATGCAAGTCTGTAGAAAATGCATATGATACAAAGGACATGTTCAAGACATAAACCCATGATTGTAGTGAAAAGCTATCCCAGGCTTCAAAATCATTACAATCTAAAAGTCTGTACCAGCTTTTCTTGACATGGCTTTCAGCTCCTTCTTTCATGTAAGCATCAAATTCTCCACTTCCATGTGCAAAGAGCTCCTCTGCTGCATAGCCTTTTGTTTCTGACTTATCTGTCCTTACTCAGAAACTGACATTTAGACAGATGATTCCTCAAGGCCGTCTAAATCAGAGAATTAATGCCCATGGCTAGTCTTGAGTGATAGAAGGCCCAGTCTCTGAAAGCTGTCAGGAGTGTGTAGGGAAAACTTTCTTAGGGTATCAAAGGTTTTCTCTGATGCTTCTGCTGCTAGCCATGACCTTATCAGAAAAATTGCTAATGGTTTGATGATTGCATTTTATTTCAAAGGCATTCATTTATCTCCTTCTGCCTTCCAGCCAGTTGGCACCTAATATCTGTTCTGGGAGGCTCTGTCATTTACTGTTGACTAAATGCTGCAATCGTGGTTTCTGGTTTTCAGAAGACATGGAAGACCACCATCATGCTCCAAAACAGGACTGAGAAGTCCTTTCATCTTTGCAGAGAAGAAAGTATAGGCTGTTCATGTGTCCAAGAACAGTCCAGCATTTGAACATGACCTTTATTTGAAGGGCTGCCCATTTTACAGAAAAAGAGCCCCAAGAAGGGAGAGGACAGGCCTTGCTGGCACCTGGGCAGCAGACTGAGCAGAAACACAAATCATCATAGTCTGTGCAGTGTATATCTATTTAACAACAACAACAACAATTTATTATTTATACCCCGCCCATCTGGCTGATCTTCCCCAGCCACTCTGGGAGGCTTCCAATCAAGTGTTAAAAACAATACAGCATTAAATATTAAAAACTTCCCTAAACAGGGCTGCCTTCAGATGTCTTTCAGATGTAAGATATCTGCTTATTTCCTTCACATCTGAAGGGAGGGCATTCCACAGGTCAGGCACCACTACCAAGAAGGCCCTCTGTCTGGTTCCCTGTAACCTCACTTCTCGCAATGAGGGAACCACCAGAAGGCCCTCAGTGCTGGATCTCAGTGTCCGGGCTGAACGATGGGGGTGGAGACGCTCCTTCGGGTATACAGGACCGAGGCTGTTTAGGGCTTTAAAGGTCAGCACCAATACTTTGAATTGTGCTCGGAAATGTACTGGGAGCCAATGCAGATCTCTCAGGACCGGTGTTATGTGGTCCCGGCAGCCACTCCCAGTCACCAGTCTAACTGCCGCATTCTGGATTAATTGCAGTTTCCAGGTCATCTTCAAAGGTAGCCCCACGTAGAGCGCATTGCAGTAGTCCAAGCGGGAGATAACTAGAGCATGCACCACTCTGGCAAGACAGTCCGCAGGCAGGTAGGGTCTCAGCCTGCGTACCAGATGGAGCTGGTAGACAGCCGCCCTGGACACAGAATTAACCTGTGCCTATATGGACAGCTGTGAGTCCAAAATGACTCCCAGGCTGTGCACCTGGTCCTTCAGGGGCAAAGTTACCCCATTCAGGACCAGGGAATCCCCTACACCCGCCCACCCCCTGTCCTCCAAAAACAGTACTTCTGTCTTGTCAGGATTCAATCTCAATCTGTTATCCGCCATCCATCCTCCAACCGCCTCCAGGCACTCACACAGGACCTTTACCTTCATTTAAAGCCATTATTCCCAAATTTGCCTCTTTATGTATAAATTTGTGCATGCAAATATGTGTTCTCTTTTGTCCACTGCTTTAGCCACCCTATAAGAGGCCACTCTATGGAGGTAGCTATAGAATATGGATAGGGAACAAGTGGCACTCTAGATATTTTTGGACTGCAACTCCCATCACCCCCATCCAGCATGGTCAGTCACCAGGGATTCTGGGAGTTATAGCCCAACAACACATCACAGCTTCATTAACCTCATTTGTATACTGAAATTCCTCCAAGCCAGTGGAGCCAACTTGGGCCACAGGATATGGGTGCTATGACATCACGTGCAAACCGCCCCCCTGGCCTCGGAACCTGACTTCCAATGCCACCAAAAGTTAGGTTCTGAGACCTTGAAAGCTCAGAAAGCATCTCCAAGGTCTTGTGAAGCCTCAGAGATGCTTTCCAAGGTCTTGCAAGACCTCGGACCTGACTTCTGGTGGCAGCGGAAGTCAGTTTCCGACGTCTCATGAGGCCTTGAACAGCATCTCTGAGGTCTTGTAAGGCCTTAGATTGTTAATTAAATTAAATTGTTGTTGGTGTTCGGGCACTCAGAGCCCCTTACAGTTGGTGCCCCTGGTCCAAGCTATTTAAGCTTACCTCAGCCCTTGGTAGCAGGGTTAGGGTGAGAGACTGACTTGCTTCAGGCCCTCAGGTGAACTACATCAGTTAGAACCACATTTCTAAAAAGCAGCAAAACATATCTGTACACGGAGCTCTGGGAAGGAAAAGGGCCACTTGATAGAATCCCCTGCAATTCACAAATCATAGCTAAAGAATCCCTGACAGATGGCCATCCTACCTCTGTTTAAAAACTTCCAACATAACTGAAACAGTCTAACAATTTTCTTACCTCAGTCAGCCAGTCAGTCCCAAGCATCTTTATATGCATTATACAATGGGATTTTTTTTGTGGACATGTATTTATAGTGAGCTCATACATACTTTTGCTTTCTAGTCTATGCTGTCCCAGTCTGTGTATGAGCACTTCCACACACACCACCGCTTTCCCCAGGAAAACCCTCACTTTAGCGCTGATTCGGAATAAACAGCAACTCGGGTTTTCCGCGAATTGCTGTTTGCTCTGATTTAACAATAAAGAACAAGTTTTTGTGGGGAAAGCACAGAGGCAAAAAAATAAG